CCGCTGTTATCACATCTACAAAGTCCGCCTACATGAACCTAACGTCCATTTGTTAAAAGGCAGGTTATAAAGAAGAACACAAACAAAGGTATTACTTTGCATAGAACATATCTCTGGATTAGGAACCGAACACAAGGTAAGGTACCCAGAGAACAAATTGATCACCAATGTTGTTGTGAAGAAATGGCTGTCTATCGTACCAGCTGGATAAGGCGAATAAGACACCGACTGTTAACCTTTTGAAACATATATTCAAGTATCGGACGTGCATACTTTGGGTATTCGGTTATAGTTGTTTTCATCGTAGATGCAAATGTATTTTAATCAAAATTTTGAAAATAGTTTGCAAACGGTTGTTGGACGGAAAGTCACCTTGGGTACAAGGTTACAACACTTACCACATACGGATGTTTTATGCAGAAATATATAGTATCATAACTTCCATATAGATTTCAAATTTTTTCAACAAATCTTGCAAGGACTTTGAAAAATAATTACCTAAGCAAAGGCATTTGTGAACTCGGGACTTCCAGGTCCCCCGTCCCTCTTTTCAAAAGGCAAAATGGCTGAAAATTCCCGTGGAGATAAGACTGTTCCGCAGCTAAATTGCTCCATATTTTAAAAAACAAATATCCACTATTCCATTCTCATTCGCGACATGACTGTTTTGGAGGTGCACAGCAGATTATTTTACAACCAAATTCAACATACAGTATGCTGTAAAGTCCAAAATGACCGACTTGAAATACATTTGAATTTACCTAATTAGGTGTTTCTTTTCCATGGGAATGCCACACCTAACAGTGGCTCTAACATGCTTATTCTACATATATGTTAATGTTTCCAAAAAGATAGAAATATGAAACATACGTTAGGCACGATTCCTAGCAGTTGTATAAACATCGTGTAGCATATGGTAGGTGAAATAACCATGGCGGCGCAATGGTATCACGAAAGGAAAGTGTGCTCCTTTTTTACTGTGCATGAAAATACCCATTTGGTTCATTCAATATTGTATTATTTCCTACATTTTTTTCCGTTCTGCTTAATTAAAAGAACGTGTATAGCACACAATGATATTGCTCAATCTTCAAACAATTTCTCTTCAATTCATTGATTTATTGTAACAAAAACGCGCTATGAGTGATAAAGCAATACGATCGCTTCATCCATGTGTAAAATAAGACACTTAATGTTCGTCAGATCTGATGCAGCATATGCAAAGACAATATTCATGTTTTCATATCTGGCTGCTTTAATCCAAATGTCAAGTCTCATCCCTCGAGATTTTCGTTAGTTGCTGCCAATGGGCTTCACTTGACATCCATTAGTTTATTAATTCGACTACCTGCAAATGCATTTTAAGGTTCCATAGCTATGTAACATATCCCCAATTGTCTCTTGCTACCTAAGATCAAAATTTAATCTCTCTCTTTCTCTCTCTCTTTCTCTCTCTCTCTCTCTCTCTCCGTTAATAATGGCTTTTGCATTAAATCATTGTGTATAAAGCACTGCATATATAATTCATGTTAGGGGCATGGTTATCGACAGATACGACATGTAGCACTGATCAATAGTGCCAGCACCCCAAACTCAGACCCATGGTTTGGCCACTGAGCCAAATGGGTTCCAATGGGTTGGCCAAAATGGCCCACATGGGGAACGAATGGGTACAATGGAACTATTGGCAAATTCAAATCCATGGAATCCTGCCAAACAACTTCATATGTCAATGTCCTCTGTAGCGTGGAGGATCTCCAGCAAAAAATTAAACCATGATATACATGGGAATGGAGTAAATGAGATTAAAATTTTAGGTACTTACACGCGCGCATGCACAATTATATTTGTTTCTCCATCAAGTTCACCACTTATCAAGACGCTTACAGCTTCTGGAGATTAAGTCAATTTAGAGTATGAAATATTCATACAGATGCAGCTTGAGTATCACGAGTGTAGGTTGTTTTACCCATTTTAAAAGATGTAATGCAATTTGTCTGAATTAGTGTGTGAGTGAACACAACTCTCTAAAAGTAGCACAGGAAGACCGCTGTGAATGTATGAGTTTACATATCAACGCGCAGTTCAAGCATATGTCTAATCATTGTGGTTTTATATACACAATGCTAGTCAAGCAGTGGTGACTCATTGTGTTATGAATATAATTTTAAAAAGAGCGTTAATCTGATAAGTGATACTAGTTCTACTTAAAACATCTCCTTCTCATAGAATCCCCATCATTTTTTTTGGCATTATATTTAAAGATATAATAGTAGCTTTAGGTAGGATAATTCATTTGATCGTCTGGTTGTCATGGTAACCCCTGTGCGGACCTGACGGAAAATACTTCCAATGTATTAAATGCAATCGTACTTGGCCTTTTAGTCAACTATTACGTTTACTGAAAGAGCGGACATCACCGAGATTGCTAAATTGAGAAAGATCTGACATACGGATATTACTATTCAAGCCAGGCTCTTTAAGTCTTTTTGATAGAGATTCAAAGGCGACGGTGCAGTGTCACATAAACAAAGCGACCGGCAGCACTATCCCACGTTTTGAATAACGATCTCCGTAACGTGATGAAAATCAATATTTTGAAAGAGCCTATCTATTCCGGTCTCTCACGGAATCTGTGCAATGCAATTTCCGAGTCTAAAAACGCATTGGGGTTAAGCTTCGCAGAACGCTACAAATATCCCACTGAACATACATGCATACGTAGTGATCTTTAAAGACGTAAATGTCTGTATGTGGAGGGTGAACTAATGACTTTTTGAGAAAACGAAATTATCCGACACGTCACCATATACAGTCACCAAACTGAATGTTCTTTTTTTTTATTGACAGGAAAAGGCTAAAACTTTCACAAGATCAAACACGGGAAAATGGCTCTTTAAATTAAATAAAACGCTTACATCACGCCTGGTTGCTTCATCCCGAGTATTTGAGTTTCCTGGTAACTTATCCTATCATCAGCATGCGTCTAAGGTGAATTTTCTAGTAATATCTGAAAACTACGTTTAATAATAATAATAATTTATTGGCTAAAATCGCAACCCAAAGGTTGAAGTTTTACAATGTGTCAATAAATAAAATCAAAAGGTATTTAAAAGTAACTAAAAATTATAAACTAAAAGACCAAAGCTTTAAAACAAGACTTATAAGACAGTTTGGAGCAGTATTTTACATGAAATTTAAAAGACTGTGCACTGTAAAAGATGATTTAAAACACTCCGTTTTCAAATTTGTTGCTGACCCTGAGATTTCTTGGGTTCTTTTCTTTAAACAGACGGTGTAGCTTATTAAAATTCTTAATTTTTGTAAAAAAGTTCTTGAATAAAACGTCTCTTCTCTCCCTCAGTGAGGTGAGATTACTAGCCTGTAGGGCATCCATATAAGCATAAAATGGGTAAATAATTCTAAGAGCTCTCCTTTGAACAGATTCTAAGCATTCACATTGTTCGGCTGTGAGATCAATGTTTGGTAACCAATCTGCCTGCTCATGGTAAGGTCTGATTCCAAACTACATGTAAGTGGTGATATTGCGCTTTGATATTAACTTTGATCATTATCAGAGTGCTCTTTACTCAGAGTAAATCTAAAGATTTTAAAAACTGCATATTGTACACGACATGAGTGGATAGGTATCTAAAAAGACAACCTCCCCTCCCCCCAACAGTTTGCCGTTCACTTTTAAAACATTTCAGAATTGAATCTTGGGCTTTTTTCATAAAGAATTGTCCATCTATTAATAATCATTTGTGTAACACAAAAAGAGGAAATTATTTCATTCAGAAACACTAACTGTGATTGGGGTGTATTCATAGATAAGATTCTTAAGACCACGCCCCCCACCCCACCCCACACCCTCACCCCCGAAAAAAATCCTGGCTTCGCTCCGGACCTGGCGTTAAAATTATCTTAATTCTTTCCAATTTCGCCTCTCCTTCGTGTATTTGTCTTCCTAAGGCAAAGCGCAGTCAGAGCATAATACACCGTCTCAAGGGCCTCTATGATTGGAATTTAATTCATCTCTCGAGAGACAGCCGTCGGCTTTGACGAGATTATGGAATCATCGTGCATGCGGAAAATAATGTGGTTCAAAAGTGCAAATTTTATTATGATTACGGAACAGATCTGGTCCAGAGATAAAGTCGTTCGTGGCCTTTTCGCAATTACTAGACTAAACTGGTTTTGAGACCTGAGTTATTTTCTCGGAAGGCCGAATTAACGAGCAAAAAAAAAGCAAACAAAAACAATCAATATTAAATCTGAAAGTTAGCCGGTCGGCTTCCAATGAAAATCCCGTAGAATGGTTATGGTCGGCGGTTTGTACTTATGCATTATTGTGTGCACAGTATAATTGCATCCATGTACGTAGTTGAATGCAAGCCATGGAGCAGACGTATGCAGCACCGGTTGATCGATTGTCTGTCTTGTTTTAAAGTGCAATTCTGTGTATAAATATAACTGATGTATGGTACCGATATAAACCAGAACGTTTAGGTAAGTACCCATGAGTGAAAAGCCATGGTGGCACCAGTGAAGTCCTCCACACACCGATACCCCCCACGACACACACACACACACGCGCACACGCACACACACACGCAAATGACAAAAGGGACACCACAAACAAAACGGTAAAATACCTAGCAATTCCTATCTCTGTGCCATAGTGTTGTTCTCGACAACTCTTAAAATACTAGTATTTAAGGATGCTGACTGAAGTGATGCAAAATGTTTTCACCCCCTCCGATAACAACTCTGGATAATACGCACGGTGAAATAACAGAGATTAAAATGTAGCTATTGTTATTAAAGACTTGATCCACAAGTCAATTTGGTAAATCATATATGTGTGTCGAAATCATGAAAATTCTCATGCTTCATTTGTTCAGTGTCGACATGGTATCTGTACCCGTTTTCATATTTAATTACTGCCACAGCACCGGTATGATTTATTGCAACAGATGTCCAAACATAATGGTACCAATATGCGTGCTGAGGTAATTCAATGCACGGACAAACAAAAGATAACAATAAAGATAACAAATATTGTTAAAATATTTCAAAACACCATGGTACTACTGTATTTTGTTCCTATCACAGCACAGGGAATATAAAAAGGCCGATGTGTACCTTATACAGGGTATATGGGCATTTTCTTTTCGTTTGGGGATTCGAAGGCTGAACCCGCCAATTTGATTTGAAAATTAAGGGAGAGACGGGCCTTGTTCTCAGCTAAATTCACCACTGTAACATATATACCATGTAAATCTTTATTGCGGCAGTTTGAGCAACCATTTCTTATAAATATAATATAATATCTTATAATAGAAACTCTGTCTTCATCGGAGGTCCCTGCTATATTGTATATATTTTCTTGAAACGTCAAATATGAAAACAGTTATTTTCAATTATTTTCTAGGAGGAACTCTTCAACATGTTGGACGACTGCAGCCGCGTTGTGGACAAAATGAACCGGAAGAAAACCTTGGAAGAGGACCTCTTAAAGACTCCCCTCAACCGATGCCTCACGACCTTCGACCTGACTCTGTTTGGCATAAGCCAAATGGTAGGAGCCGGCATTTTCGTTCTCACGGGTACAGTCATAAGGGACAAGGCTGGTCCAGGGGGCATCCTCTCTTACCTCTTCGCCGGAGTAGCGGCTGTGCTTTCCGCCTTGTGCTACGCCGAGTTCGGTGCCCGAGTCCCGAAAGCTGGTTCCGCCTACACGTACACTTACATCATCATCGGGGAGTTTTGGGCCTTTTTAGTCGGATGGAATATAATTTTGGAATACCTCATTGGTGCATCTGCCGTGGCTCGAGGACTAAGCGGTTCATTCGATGCGTTGTCCAATTATAAGATTAGTAACTGGACTTCCAAGCACATAGGGACAATGCCTGGTGAGTGGTTGAGCGACTACCCCGATTTCGTTTCGTTTTTCTTGGTAATTTTGGTGAGCTGTTTGGTAGCTTGCACTGGTGCTAAGAAATCCGTTGTCGTCAACAGCGTTTTTACAATCGTAAATGTGGTCGTCATCGTCTTCGTCGCTGTGCTGGGATTCTGTTACGCTGACCCGACGGTTTGGGAAGAGGGCGGGTTCCTCCCTTACGGCATGGGTGGAGTATTCGGTGGTGCTGCAGCTTGTTTCTATGCCTTTATTGGATTCGACGCGATCTCTATCGCCGGTGAAGAGGCAGCTACTCCTGGGAGATCTATTCCCATTGCCACCATGTTGTCCGTTGTTGTCTGCACGGTTCTATACGTGTTTGCAACGATGGCATTGACTCTGCTTGTCCCATATGATGAGCTTTCCGCCAGTGCACCATTCCCAGTTGCTTTTGATATCCGTGGATTGAAATGGGCAAAAATCGTCGTGTCCATAGGTACCATAATTGCCATGTTTACTGCTCTTTTAGTGGACCTCTTCGCCCTTCCAAGGACAGTTTATGCGATAAGTTCGGACGGCTTGTTCTTTGAAGCTTTTTCTCGCATTAATGAGAGGACACAAACGCCAGTGCTGTCTATCATGGCGTTTGGTTTTCTGGCCGCCCTGTTGGCTCTGTTCTTTAGCATAGATACTCTAGTTGAGTTCCTCTCTATTGGAACCCTGCTTGCGTACACCATAGTGGCCGCCGCCGTTATATTCATCCGGTATCAGCCGCTTAGTAAATGCCAGTTCGCTCTTAAACCAGACCCAACGGACGACAACCTTAAAGAGGTGGAGACGCCTGAAGGAGCTAGGCAACCAATTAAGGAGAACGGTGCCTATGGTGATTTCGGGAAGTTAAAAGCCTACTTCCGAACCCTGCCGATTCTGCGCAATTGCGAACCGGGGCAAGCAGCGTCCAATGCTACAATTCTAATGGCGGCGTTGATGGCAGGCTGGTGTAGTGTACTCATTTACTGCACAGAAGACCTGGGTCAAGGCAAATGGTGGGCGTGGTTACTCTGTATCCTCTTACTTGTGGGCGTGGTTTTGTGCTTTTTTGTGATAACTGCGCATGTGCAGAACACAGCTTTCTTGACATTCCAGGTAAGTGCAGATTGATTTAGTGATGATATCTCGTGTTGAAATATGTTCTTATCGTTGTTGTACTACAGTCAATTAATCAAAAAATACATTTAAAAAACTGTGCTGATTTTCAAATCCATTTTAGATAGAAAAAAAATCCAGAGCAATTTAAGGTAAACTTAAACACAAGATTTTTTATTCACCGGGATAGATGTACTTACCAAAGCCCAAATAACCATCATCTCCATCCAAATACAGCTCTAACATTGAGGAAATGCCAACACAATTTTGCGATCGATATTTTGCCTGAAGAGGGTCGCTTTATTGTGATTCTGAAATGGTTAATTCTGCCCCGTCAATGATCTAGTAAAGTATCTACAAGTAGAATCATGTACCTATTGTGGCTGCAACAAAAGTCAGCCCAACATCCTACGAAAAACGTACATGTAAATCTGCTCACAAAAACGACCATCACTCTCTGTTCCACCTATCACATGATCAGTCTCTGCTTTTCTATAAAAATTACCAAACATCAAATAAGATTTTCATTATCAAGTACACTTTTCTTATAAAACGTGGTTATTTAAATCTTTATTTAGATTATCCTATTAATATTGTACAATGATGAGAATGCGTTAGCTAATGATGATGAAACAAAAAGGGCTGGATATTTCACAAATGATTGAAGAGTAAACTCTGACGTCTTTAGCACTTTCAAATGACATTTGAAGTGATATGGGTTCGTCAGCCAAATGCACTCACCCTTGCCAGCCAAGTCCTAACGAAAACTAATATCTCAGAGCAGACAAACACTTAAATGAAATTACATCCTATGCGATATTAATGTAGAGGCTGTAAAGTAATCTTAACGAGCTGCCATGCGAAACCGCTGATAACGTTTAAGGTTATATTGCTTTTACATTGACGAGAACGTCGTTATGGAAACAGACAATGGCCGCCTATAGATATCATATCAAAGTGTTTTGTTTTCCAAAATTCCTTTCCTTTATTTCTTTTATAGCAAAGTGCACTTATTCTCTGACAGAAAATTCAAAATGTCGGGTTGTAACTGACAGGTATTATAGCTGTCAAATTATGTGTAAATATTAAAAATGTGGAAAAACCATGACGCTGATATTGTATTTATATGCCACTTTAATATTGCATTATTTTCATTATTATTATTGTTGTTGTTGTTGTTGTTGTTGTTATTTTTAAAGATTTAATTATCTTTTTTTCTATAATCTATTTGTCATAAACTCATCTCTAATGAAAATTAATTTGAAGTTCTCACCCATATTGTAATGTTTCCTTCGTATCCAGATGAAGTTCAAAACCTTTGTTTGTTGTAATTGTATTTATAGTCTAAAATTTAGTATTGTCCAATGAGTTAAATAAAGTTTAAATCTATCATAAAATGAACATTGTAAGTTCTAAAATCTGACATCTAATGAAACAATTTTACATATGGTAATCTTTGTTTCCAGATCCCGCTTGTTCCCCTGTTACCTGCTGCCAGTATGTTTGTTAACATTGCAATGATGCTGAAACTCTCCTATCTTACCTGGATTAGGCTGGCTGTGTGGATTGCAGTAGGTGAGACATCGCGATTGTGACGTATTGTGTTCGATGTCCCCGCTAACAGATTTTACGTCAATAGGCTGCAACACCTCTAAAAATTAAGAAAATGTTACTGTCAGGTGTGATTCTAATGTCTATAACATATAGTCAGCAACTGATGCTCTTAACCATCTTTAATGTTGATAATGATGAGAAGCAGGATGTTGGGCGCGCCTTCTGATACTTATTCCCTTAACTCCTGAAATTTAATACATAAATATATAATTTTTCCCTTAGGTTTGATCATTTACTTCACCTATGGCATACGTCACAGTGCTGAAAACCGGGCACTGTCTTCCTACACACAAATTATCCGCTACTCCGGAGATGCGACAGCAGACGACCAGGTTAAAGGCATGGTAAACGCCTTAGAGACGCAGCCCGTGCAGGATGTTAAGGAGGACGACGATGGGAGGAATGCTACGGGAACGGAGAATGCACCTGGAGGGGAGAACCCATCGGGAGAGCCAGGTACAACGGCTCCGACGGACGACAGTGAACGTACGGAATAGCTCGTACTTCTTCGGATTTCTTCTCACACACTCTGATATTTTGCAAGCATGTTAGAATCACTTGCACTCGGCTTGGATTTTCATTTTTCGGAATTTAAATAGCGTGTTATATTCGGGATTGGCGAAGTTATACGGAGATTGACGAGTATTTACGACAACGCTGCTGTTCAAGCGCACCAGACTAAACCTTGTGATTTTTAAGACTGATGTTTATAGGTGCTATATTTTCTTCATTATAGTCTTTACATACATTTCTACTACTTATACCTTTAAATCACTGTTCCTTGATATTTAAATATATTATATTAAAAACATCTGATATTATATAAACGTATGTTATAAGCATAGCAGGAACTGCAAAAGATCGATGGGCAATATATATGTCTTGCGAGAATGAACACCAGAAAGTGGGCCAGAGAAACACCAAGAGATCGAAAAAGACCAAAGAAAAGATAAATAGATGACACTGAGCAGGCCGCAGTGCATGGACGCATGCGGCACTAAATCGTCAAGCGTGACGAAGTCTGTGGAGGCCACCTGCTAACAGTGGCGTGACAGGCTGAGATGAATGAATGAACGAATGTGCCATTTGTGGCTTGCTTACATAAGGATTAAATCAAGCAGAAAATAGACGTCATCTAACGTCACAACCGCTAAATAGGAAACCAAAGATATAATTTAAATCACAAATGTGTTGCAGGATGAAACATGCTCCTCGACTCCATTATGCCATTACTCACTGCCTTGTTAGAATTTGTGTTCATATCTGCTCCTTCAATGTGAAAAAATGCTCAACAGACCAAAAACCAAAAACATATGTATGGTTTAGTTATTCAAAATAATTTATTTTATGAATAGAAGATATATGTACCAGTACATGGAGAATGTAATTTACGTTTTTTAATACATAAAAGTCATTGACCGAATGGTATTGAAACAATTTTCTAAAAAATTGAAAAAATATTTTTTGTACATATTATATAAAAAACGCACGAAATGTTAATGAGAATAGAGACTTGGAAAATCACCTGGTGTCTTGCGTGTGGGAAGTCACTATCACGCATGTACCCATTTTCAACTTCCGTTCTACGCCACCGTCAGTTATATCTTTAATAGCGTTGAACGTTTTTTGACTAATTTGTATCAGATACAAAAAAGATTTCCTTTCAGCATATTCATGATATCAGAATGTTTTTCTCATAATATGTCCAGTCTTTTTAAAATGGGGTAAAGAGAAGAGAACTTGCAATGATAACCATGATTGTATTAAAAATATACATGTACATGTATATTTTGTGTACATAGAAAAAATATTGACATCTATCTTCAGCAAAAAAAATATACTATTAACAAAAACATTTGGGATGAAAAATATATCGAATGCATGAAAAATAATATAAAAATGCAATGTGCTTGTGCTTCTAATACTTTTATCAAAGTAATGTTCGGTGTGGCCTTTATATACCCGTAGTACATGTAGGCCTACTAGGCACGGTTACGTACGACGTTTATGAACCCATATCATTGTATTATATTGATTATTTTCAATTTTCATCTTACAGCACAAAGCATATATTATCACGTACAATGAAGAAATATATAGCTCTGTGTCCCTAATTTCAATTTTTACAATACACTGGGGTATTAAATCACTGGCCTTATATTCGATATACCGGAATGTGCGATATCAAGTGTTAAACCGATTGAAATAAGAAAAAAGTCAATGGAATCGACTCCCATCAGACAGTAGAGATTTGAGAATCCACCACCTCTTTCGAGTCCTCATCTGGCGGTGCAGTTTTATTCAGAGCTTCTTTTTCCTTTTCGTCAGCTCCCTTCTCCGGTTTGCGAATACACTTCTTATATATCAAATACCCGATCACCCATAGCATCAAAGGTAGAGGGGTAAAAATGGCAGCCCCGATGGGTGCAATGCAAGCAATATCCCCTTCCGGCGACGGCAATGAAAAACGAAGCAACACCACAGCGACGCCGACATTTTGAATACCAGTTTCTATAGCGACAGTTTTGATGCGTTCCCATGACTGCCGCGTTGCCAAGGTTACCAGGCCTCCCGCAATGAACCCGGCATACGGCAGCAGGCATCCCGCAATGATAACTTTGTTGGAGAAAAGCTTGAACATGTAGAGATTGGCATAGATGCCGGCTGTGAAGAGGAAGATGATGCAAATGACTGAAAATGGTTTGATGACTTTCAAGATGATTTTGGCGGCTCTGTCACTTTTGTACTTGATAGCCATCCCGATGACCACTGGTATGATAATATAAGCCAGAGCCTGGACTATATTCACGAATGGAATCGTGACCTCGTGTCCATGGAGTAAGGTTTGACCGAGGGTGAACATCCAGAAAGGGATCATGGCTGAAAGTAACAGTTCAAACATGCGCATGTCAAAAAATCAAAAGTATTTAAACAACAAGGCAAATTTAGAGTATGCAATATATCTGTGCAGGTGTTATTTGCTTCAAAGAATAGGTAGATGCATCAGTCTTTAGATGTACAGGTATGAAGTTTCAAGAGAAATCAAAACGGCACCCATTAGACTGGCGGTTATTTGATAAGAAATTGGTTATTTTAGTATATCATTTGCCTTGAATGGAATTTCCTCTCACAATATATTATTAATAAGGTCGTTCGCGGGATGTGGTTTAGGTCCCACTGAAAGAGTTTTTTTCTTCTTCTTCTTTCTTTTATTCGCTGCGGACCCGTTTGGCATATATATATA